TTTCATACGTTTCATACGTTTCTACACGTATTATACGTTTCATACGTAAAAACGTAAGAAACCATTCGCGGCGCCAAATTGCCCAACCCTGCTCAGCAGTAATCGGATTAGCTTCATAGCGACGTGAGGTGATACTTTGTCCTCAAGAGAAATAAAAAGATAAAAGTCGGTAGATACGTAATTATTATTCTAATAATTAGCGCTTATTATTTTCCTTATATATCAATATATAAATAAATGATCTGTTACACATTTTTACTGATATTAAATTAATAAAAAGAAGTATTAGTAATCTCACGTGTAGTAAACATTAACCTATAATAATATTGGATTTATGTTATAATTTCGTATGTAACAAAATAAGAACAGTATAAAATCTGTCAAATTAACATTTCAAACATACTAATTTTAAAATATATTAAGGACATTTATGCATTTATATACCCAGTAAGCAAATTGAGCGCAGACTGCGCGCAGATTGGCAGCAAATTTGATCAAAAACCCACAGCAAAACCATAGCCATCTGTGTCTACATTAGGCTACGGTTTTGGCGACAGATCTTGCTGTCGGGCAATTGGTGCCAAATTTGCAGCAAAAACCGCACGGCGGAAGTTCGCGCAACAGCCAATCAATATGTTGTTTTTCCGTGAGAGCTACAAGATTATTACGAAAAGCAGCATATTGATTGGCTGTCGCACGAACTTTCGTCGCGCGGCAAGTGTTGCCGCGTCCTATAGGCAGGAGCCATAACGATTGGCGATAGATTGACGATTAAAGATTGGAACTTGACCAATTGGAACAAAGCAAGCCAAGACTGAGCTTGTTGATTTGTTAAAATCTAATCTTTAATTGTCAATCATTAATCTTCAATCGCTAATGTGATTTGGCTTTTAAAGCTCGTATCACACTAGCGATTGGCGATTGACAATTAAAAATTAGATTTTAACGAATCAACAAGCTTCGGCCTTGACTTGCTTTATTCCAATTGGTCAAGTTCTAATCTTCAATCGTCAATCATCTATCGTCAATCGTTAGTGTGATTTGGTCTTTACACAGGCTATATGGGAGAGTGTCAGGGGATTGAGCCACACTCTGTATTCTAGGGACTAGTGAGTATTTATATAATGTGAGTCAGCGTGGCCATTAAATTACTGTCGTAAAATAAAAAATGCCAGTATCTTATTGTATCAGAAAATGTCGTAACAAAAAAATAGATGGTATTGTACGTTATTTGCTCTGCTCATTTTCAACAAAAGAATTTTATGACTAAACATAGTGAAAATATGTGGCGGTATGCGATTTTCTCGCATGTACTGAAAATTCTATCGGATGCAACCGTTGTATGTTGAGATAGCCTGTTAGCAATCTAGTTTAGTATAGACATCTGTGGCTGCGAGAGTCATATCTGTTCGCTACCCGTACTTAGGAGCACTTGAGCGCACTTGGGAGCTACGAGTTTCTCTTGTGACACCGCTAGATGGTGCCAGATAGGTTGTTGATCGGACATGTCTTTATGTGTTTATCGCCGTGCTCGGTAGTTGTGTTTGAAAAGTAATGATCACATTGGTAGCATAATTCCAGAAGACAATCGTTGAATCTTCCGGACTCTTACTGTTGAATGCGAAACTTGTCGCTACACGCAGATACGTATAGATAGAACTCGAAGCAAGGTGATCAAAATATCTAAAGAGTCGTCTACGATGCGGTCGCAGTTACGTCATAAAGCTGTTTTAAAATCATTGACGAAACTTCTCATTTCTCACGAGTTTATACGAAAGAAACAGACACATGATTGATACACAAACTAGTACTTTAAAACGTAATTACAACTGCATTGTAGATCCTTAAAAAATCTGTTATGCTTCCTATGTAACTTCAATAAATAAGTCTGAATATTCTGTTTGTTTGCGGGCTTACAGGCCGCAGGTCTTATTTGTAATGCATGAATCTATCACACTTTTCTATCAAAACATGTATTACATTTTTGTCGTTACTCTCGATATAAATCTTTGAAGTTGGCAGTATCGCGGACTTCTCCGATTGGTTTTCGTCAGTCACGTGACTTTGATTTATTCCAGTTGTAATAATCAATGTTGGATCATTTGGCGCCCACTGACGATAATTGTATGTCGAAGGCGGATTCTGCGGAAATCTTCGAAATTTTCGCGTTGTACGAATGGTATAGTATTTATAATATTACTTTCGTACAGAAGCAATCGAAATAAGTTTTTACGCGGAAAGTTATGCTGTTAGTGCAAACAGTTAATACCGAGTTGTACAAAACGAATGCAGCGTTGAATCATAAATTCGTCGATTGTCTATAGAAACGACGAAAGTTCTCTTTGTACGACTTTCTTCTTATCGGGTAACGAAATTTGTTTTACATTTTTTGGCGTAGGACGTAGACTGTTGTTGGTGTAATTCCTTCAGTAATCCCCTGAGTTTTGTACATTTATATTATATCTTATGATACGAAATGATAATCGTTGTGAGAAAATGGAACCATTTTATAGTGCTTAGTAAGATCGGTAAATAAAAAAGAATATTTCTTTGGTATTTTTCTGTATTTCGGTATTGTGTTTCCAATTTATTACAAATTTTATTAAAGTAATTTCAACAGTAGTTAACGTTAGTTATTAAAGTAATTTCAACATTAGTTAATTAAAGTAATTTCAACATTCGAAACATACTGTTTATACGACAAAGTTATAATCTCTTTTCAGACAGTATAATACGAAAATGATGAATTTCATCGGACAAATTTCGGAATTTACAAATGGCTATTTATGTTTCAATGTATGGTTACCAGCATTTCCTAGTAGTTTGCTACATGGGATACATTTCACACGCTGCGATTCGATTACATGACATAAGCAACACACTCACGTAAGTATTATAAATGACACACGTTTATATTCACACCAACACATCATGAACTCACACGATAAACTCACACATACAAAGTGTTTCATTAATAATGTAAACTTATTTGAAAAGTGGTTTTAGTATTGCAAGGTTGTCAAAAAATGCTTGTACAGAAATGTAAAGTATTCTTTATAAATTATCTAGTCTATCATCAAATGTATTCACCTGTACGATATGAATTTGATATGAATTTTTTAAAATTGATTTTGATCTTTTAATTACCTTCAATTAATAAATCCATTTCTGAAATGGGTCTTGATAACGAAACACTGCATATAAACCTAATCTGTATATAAATAGAATAGAGAATAAATAGGGGAATATATAAATAAGTGATTAAACGCATCGACGTGCTTAGGCTCTTATGGAAATTATTAAGATACATTCAAAGCAATAAATATTTCACGCGACAAGCTCCCTTAGGGGCGGGGTAGCCCTTCAGTATACACATACATATGTAAAGATACAGTATTGTCCTTCGAACTTACATGCTAAGTCTTATAAGATACGCTTCTTTCATTATTAAATAAGTGAGAGCACAACTGAAGGCTTCGCAAAAGTTTGTTAAGAATATATCGTCGATTAAAACTAAACGCAACGCAGTTACAACGATATCTTATGCATATTGTCTTTTCTTACGCTTTTACAGACTAAATTTACGGACTAGATTTATTGCCCATGAACTGAGATCGTATGCTCTACTATGTAAATCGAGGAAGGACGACTGTGCATTGAAATTGCAAACAAAGTGTTATTTTCTGCCATACATTGTGAAAAATGTGAGTAGGTCTATATGAATAAATTATGATATGACTGTTCCAATTTGATCGAACGTAATTATGCAAATAATTTACTCTCGCGATAGTTTTGATTAACAATTAAAAGTTTTATATTAGTTGTTAAAAATTAAATCCTATTCTCAACTTGCTATGGTAAAAATAATTAATTGAATAAATATACATATGTATAATATATCTAATTATTAAGAAACAGAAGTTTTGTCAATGTCAATACTTCTTCAAATAATTTAATCGAACAATTTAAAAGAGATAATAATTGCATTGCATAATTACATACTGATTATCTGGCTGTTACTTTGGTGTACAATTTCAAGGAGACTCTGATTTTCTCTCGATACTGTTCGAGTGAGTTGCCCATGAGCTTTTTGACTAGATATCACTCTCAAATAATGTATCTTTTTATATTATTGTTTATCGATTACGATATTTATACTGTTCATTAGAAATAGACTTATATATTCTATCTTATGAAATATATCTATGATTAGCAATTATTTCGATATGGGATAGTTAGTAACGTTAAAGTTAGTTATGTACACAAAAAGATGGAATTACATTTAATTTTTTAGTAATGTTAACTGATATTCGATTTATTATTGCCTCAACATATCTTTGATATTTTAATAGTTCTTTAAATAGTACAGGAGGGTGGGAGAGATACTTAATTTACTCTGCAACTTCCATTAATCTATGCATTAACTGAAGACATTAATCTTCATGCGCGCGAGCTTAAATTAGATTTTCTGTAAAATAAATATGTATTTTCGTTCTATATTCGCCCAAATTTGCTATGCGATAGAAGTAGGATCATGTAAGCATTAAATGTAACTTAAAGAATTAAATTTGATTAACTCCCCAATATATCAATGACTTAAAAAAATTAATAGGTTTTTTATTTTAATTTCTTTTTAATTAAAAGTATTTTTGATCTTTTTTGCATCTAATCTCGTAATAAATTAATTTCTACTAAAATATAAACTCTAAAAGTAATCAGTATAATTATGAAATGTTAAAATAGACACAGCCGCGCGTAATACTTAATTGACTACAATTTTTTAATTTAATTTGTAAAATTTGTAAAATGCAGTTGAAAGAATGACAGTCTGGTAAATTGACAGAATTAGGACTCGTTTTTAAAAAAATCGAGATATAAGTGTAAACCAAGACTAATACGAGCCGGTAAATATTGTTATTCTTACATTTTAAGATAGTACTTTTCTTTGTATTCTATGTTCCATTTTTATTCGGATTCTCTTCAGTCAAAATACAAATGGTAACAGTACGATAGTACCTGCTTTTGTGCTTTGGCTGAGGAGAAGTCAAATAAAGCTAGAAAGGTTCCGCTACATGGAGAACTACAATAGAATACAAATATTTAAAACATAAAAACAACTGTGCCCATCTTACTTGTATCGGTCTTAATTTATACTTCTAAAAACAATTAATTAAATATCTTTAAAAAATTTAATAGTAATTTTTTATTTGCTATTTACGAAATCTAAATTAAAATTTTTGTATTATTTTTTATATCAAAAAGACTATAAAAAAGTTTCATTTTTAAAACGGAAAATAAAGAAGATTGGCTGATTCTCCATATAAATTAATAATAATTTACGACGGAAATGAAATAATTTAAAATTACTTTTGCAATTCATATTCAATTATGTACATTTTGTTAAAATACGTAATTATGCAATTTTGTTAAAATGTGTAATTATAATTCATAAATATAAATAATTAATTTGATTGTTGAGTATGTATGTTTTGTATTCCTATGATTGTCATATTTAAATAAATAAATAAGTAAATAGATAGAGATAAATAGATAAATAAATAAATAATAAATAAATAAATAAATAAAGTATATTTTAATTGTAAAGGTTTAGAATATAATGTTAAACTTTTTCTAATGTAGATTCTTCTTATATTAATAGTTGCCATTAAGGACATTTTGCTTTTGTATCAAAATAAAAGAAAACTATACTTAAACATATTAATTTAGTAACTAAATAAGTCAATTAAATATAAAGTTATTACAAACAAATTATCAAGTTCAATTAAGCTCGAACGTAAGACGTAGACCTCAAATGAAAATCAATCAGAACATAACTTTAAGTTTAGGTAATTCAAAAGATAAAAGTCACGGCAAATTTAATGATAAATGAAAGTAACTCTGCGTCTTAATTGGTTTAAATCTTCTTTATGTATAGTCTAAAGCGATTGTAAAGTGTAAAGTGTAAAGCGATATATTGTAGTTGATTTTTTTTCAGTTTAACTTTACTTACGTTAACGTTTCTGACAATTTGTGTGTGATAACCCTATGAAATAGACAGGCACTTCATATATATTCTGCTTTAAATTTATTGCAATGTTCTTCACATATTTAAACTTTTATGCATTTTTTTTAGTTTTGATAAAACAAACTAGAAATTATACAGTAATTAATTATTAAATATGAATTAAAGAACCTATGTTAATATTAAATAATTCCAATACTGGCACATTTCCCAAAATAAACTACTCATCATTTAAGTCGAAGTTCTCATCAGACGATTTATTGACTAGAATTAATGATTAGAATTAAGTTACGTATACGACAAATTATTCTGGTTATTATGATAATGACGTTAAAATTATTCTGATAATACTGATCTATTATTCTGATAATTAATAAAAATTATTCTGATAATTCTGATCTATTATAATTCTATAAAAAAGCTGTACAGTGTATACCACCAAACAAGTTAAAAGATTATAAAGTTTTCTATGGAATTTATAAATATAGTTATTTGGTGTTTCTTATGGCATCGTTAATATTCACGGACTTCGTTACTCATACCAATACAAATATGTACAAATAATACTGCTAAGACAAATAATACTGACTAGAACTGACACGTTAGTCCACGTCACGAGATGTATAATCGTACGCTTAAAGATTAAAAAAAAAATTGCATTTATCAGTGGCCTGCATATTCTGTTCCAAATATGATATTAATTAATCTTAATTAGGTCATTTCTTAGAGGAATATATCAGATGTGTCCTCCAATAAATGTGATTAAAATTATTATTAGAATTAAATTGCAAGGATTAAACAAAGTGATAAAGATATATTTGGTTAATTTCATCGAATTATTCACTTTGTCCAATTTTTGCAATATATCTTAATCACATTCATTTTTAAAGACACATTTAATTTACTCATATTAGCTCACACACATAATTTTTTTTTATAAATACTGCTGATATGATAATCTAAATTGCCTTAAATTTACTTTTACCGTTCGTATACCAGTTATTACATACAATTTTATTTATATTTACTTTAGAAGGAATGTGCACGTATGGTTTGTAAGAAATTATTGAGGACTTGACGATTTTAAAATTTAAGAAAATTATTTACAAAATATTTGACTAACTTGAAACATACGCTTTTTTTATTGGGATACTTCCAATCACGTAATCGGAAACTATTGCAAGTAGCTATATATTTTTTTTATTTTTTGTTTAAATTTGCACTTCGACTAGATATTGTTATTTAACTAAAAATGTGTTTGATTAGATTTTAGACATTTTCAACGAACTGAAAATATTAGATGTTTCATAGAGTTAAAAACATATTTGACTAGAGTTTTCTCACTTTGGGGCAAATATATGTTTAACTAGATCTTATATATTTTCACCGAAACTTCAAATACATTTATTTAAATCTTAAAAATTTTCGCTGCAAAGATTACAAAGCTTAGCTAAATTTGAGAAACTTTTAGTAGATAATATATATATAATATAATGAACAAATTAAACTTTTGCATTTGACTAGATTTTTTCTTGGTTTGAAGGTACGTTTGATTAGATTTTATCTTTTGTTTAAAAGTATGTTTGACTAGATTTTTTCTTCGGTTTGAAAGCATGTTTGACTAAATTTTTTCTTCGGTTTGGAAGCACGTTTGACTAGATTTTTTTTTATTTGAAGGTACGTTTTTAAGTATGTTTGAAGGTACATTATAAATATTTTTTATTTGGAATTTGAAAATATATATAAGCTTTATTAGATTTTAAAATTTCAACTGCATTCTGTACTTTCTATTCTACATGTCTTTAAATATCAGAAATTAAATTTTTGACTAGATGTTTTCTTCGGTTTGAGAGCACGTTTGACTAGATTTTTTCTTTGGTTTAAAAGTATGTTTTTAGATATGTTTGAAAGTATGTATAGATATTTTTTATTTGGTTAAAAATATATGTAAGCTTGACTAGATTTTAAAATTTGAACTGCATT